ATGTTGTCCACCAATGTCACAAAAACTGGACTGATCATTGCTATTATTCAGGACAAAGTGACTGATCATAAATAATATACAAAATTAGCAAATACACCCCACAATCACCCCGTTAAAATTTCAGTGAAGAAAACAGCAATTGCACTGCTTGGTCCTCCCTCTAATTTCAGCTTAAAATGGTCCACCTTTTGTTAATCAAGGAAACAGTTGGAGACTAAAAGGGTATTAAGGTGAAAATAGTCGTTTCATAACCTTCACATGAATTTCATCCCACTTCCATTAATTTTCTCAGAACAAGAGGAGCAAAACAATATCAGCAGCTTCATGCTTCTTGTGACATTGGGACATTTCCACAACATGTATAATTTTGTTGTTCCCTACTTGAAACGTATTGCCACAGGTATTAATTTAGTTTAATACAAACGTACCACATTTGTGAATCTAAGATAGTGAAAATGTAGCCTTTTCAAGGCCGACATCATCCTATTTACGAACTTGCAATTGCTTCACGTTAACAGGGCCTCAGTAAGGTAACCTGCCAGAACATCCGCGAAGTGCAGCAAGCAACGTCTATAGTTACTAAATGATATATGGATATCAAACGTGTTATAAAATACAAATGATTAGATGTTTAATGTTACCCTAGCTGTAGTTAAATGCTTCCTTATTTGGATTTCGATACCATTAGGTATTAGTAACTCTACTTGCAAGAGTAACTCATCTCGTGCATCGTGACTACTTACCCAGTGTGTGGTGTATCCAACAACCTGATACAACCGCCATGAAAACCAACCACCCTTCTCCCGCCATGTTGACTAACCAGGAAGTAAAGCTCACACATGTGTTAGAGTAGGCGTGAATGGAAAGTTCCTATTGACATGTACAGGAAAATAGTGTTCATGTCGTACATTTGTTACCAAGAGGATATAGTTTAAATGTAAATGTCGGTGCGCTCGCCTTCATTTCAAATCCATGTGGAAATACCACCAACACTTTCATGATAACTTGGCTGGAATTGGAACATAGATATAATTGTGCCCAGCTTTTCAATAAAGATTTCGTCATCGAAGACTTGGTTAAGTTATTCAAGGAATGTTAAGGTAGACAATAAGAGGAATTTACTGAGGACGACACGGAGCTTCTCAACATGATGCGCAAATCTATCCAATACTTTGAGTTTTCATATTTTACACACTGACACTTATATACTTAGGTTGGTGGATCTTGTGGCGAGGCTTAGTGACTTGGATGATCACGTGGTGTTGTATCCCGACGCGTAGATGATTGGTCACAAACTTGCAAACTTGCAAACCATCAAAATAAACATGGACGTCTATGCGCTGGGGGCTGCTAACATACAATGTAAATATCTGAAATGCATTCTGTCTTTTTCTTTGTCATGCGAGTAAACATAGAGAAGGCTCAGAATTCATATTCAACCAAACGTTAAGTCTCTCTGTCAACTCGTTACGGAAAGAATATATTTGGTGTTATACAGCTTAAATATGTCAGAACTTGAAGTGTGTTGTTATACATAACGTGGACACGTTTATGGCCAAGTCACACGGATTTCAAAATATTTCGTCAATTAAGTGTATTTCAATTCATAGCATGAGCACATTTTATGATGGTATGTCTTTGTTGGGTGTCCCATTTACGATCATCGCATTAAGTGAGGAAAGTCTACCTTCCTCAATTTATGTAATAGACACGATCAATGTTTTACATAAGTTGCATGGATGAGACACACACACAAAGAAGTCATTTGTGAATGAAACATAAACTCTTCCACAGTGTGTTATGGTACTTAGGACAAACCATAATAATATAATAAATGAGAGTTACACACACGACTTTTGTGTTATAGTCGGCATTGGCTAGTGTAACCATCGACGAAATGGAGGGTATTAAAGCTGATGTTGCATGCTTAATTTCTAAGACAGTTATCCCACCGAAATAGTGCGGATATCATATAGCATCCATATATTGTGTAACGTAATCGCACAACTCCAAGCTGCAGTACACACATTGGGGTAAGGCATATCAGGAAAAACACACAGCTTCCTCCTAGTGTTAGGTAAACGTTATGATGTTATGATTATAAATGATAAAGGCATAGGCTATTGGAGTACGTTATCAGATTGAGGTACGTTTATGTTTAAAACTCACCTTGAAGGGATGTACACCACAGCATGATGTGATTTGAGAACTAGTATACTTCCCTGTCACAATAGCAATACTTAACAACACCTCTACTCAATGCTCGTAATTTACAAATTACTCGCTGTACATAGTTGTATGCCTTAGGCATGCCAAAAACCTATTTAAAGTGGGTTCGAATCTGAGTGTGGTTATAGGTGTATCAGTACATACACCTCTTCGTGGGCTTCACAATGTGTTAAACGTCTGAGACTTGCACCACGTCGAGCTTTCCTTCATACCAAGCCGTGATATTGCTGAAAGTCTGCACAATTTGGGTGTCACCAAACTCACCCACTTTATCAATGCAACTTACATACATTGTAGAGTGTGAATGTGTCTTCTTATTCCTTATTCAAATGTGTGGATAGCTATACACGAAATGTCAATGTTGTTTACAGGTGTGGTTTGTGTTTAACTGAATAGGAAACAAGTAAAGAACTTACACCACGTATGCGATTGTTTGTTCATGATTTACCTTTGGTATGGATAATCACTTTGCAACAATACAGTCCAATATTCTTTAGGGCGATCGCGCGTATGAACTATAATGCACGTGATACGCGTTGTCCATCAGATTGAAAGCTACAGGACATGTTTGTGCCTCTCTCACTGGAGTCACACTGGCTATGTACAATAATACATTCATGCACATAAACAGTGTTGGAATGTTTTACACATGAAATACATAAGCAACTATATATGATAATTTTATAATGTGAAATTAATGTTTCTTCCTTAAATTGGGTCAATACTGGATTCTGATTGGCCAATCAGATGTATAAAATCCCAATCACCACCTGTGACTAAAGCAGCCGATTTGACGACAGTATTACCAGGGACGATATACAAACATGTTTCTCATTCATTGGTGATAGGCACTTTTAAATGACTATATATATAAATATAGTGCAGATTCGGGGTAACTGTTAAATTCAAAGTATATGTGATAATACGCAATTCGGTATTTTGACTTGTCCTTAACGGTCCCATATTTTTTCAGGTGAACAGTTGACTAGACTTTGCACGTGTTTGTGACTGGTGGGGAAGGATTGGCTTACCTTTTCGCGAAATCCTTGTATCATCCCTTTTTGATAGTGATTCATTAACACAAGTTGTCGGTATCGTACAATGGACTGCTTTTAGCAGATATTTCTTACGATCATGGACAGGGATTCTTTCGCTCACTATTGAAATTTGGTGCCTTTCTGTTAGCGACCCTGACGTTATAGTTTCTGCGTCCCAATGAGCGGTGTGATGTCACAATAGTCACGCGAGGTGTACAACTAAACATTACAAGGCTTAGTTACTCTTCTTTCGGGGCGCCCACTAAACGCTGGCCTACACCCGTTCTATGCCTATTTTGTAACAGTTTATGGGGCTTTCAGTATATTTATCATCCTGTTATCATCATTGATTATATTATTTGTTATTGATTTATTATTTTGACGCCACAACCTTGACAGTCAGTCATCTGAACACCCACCATGTTGGACGACCGGGAAGTTGTTTACACTTCCGTGTTTGCCAACACAGGCGATTCCCACAGGTCGGGTGTCTTTGTCATTACAAAAAGGTCCTTTGACATAGAAAAATATTAACAGTGATCGTCAGCGAGCTTGGATGATCAATCAAACGTGACCATGTACAACACATCTTGAAAAGCTCATACACGTACACAGTGTCACTATAAAAGGGTGTGAAATGTATTTTATACTGTAAAAAAATGAAAACCCATGAACAGAACATTAGTAACGGATGTAATTCAGGGGTAACTATACACGTAACTGTCTACCTGTGTTAGCTTAGTCTTGAAGTAATGCCCGAAGTGAGTCAGGCCAGTGAGGTGTATTCTATGAAAAATGCGTGTACTTGAACGGTCCTCAGGAACCAAGAATCATAATAAGTGCCTATCAAGGATCCAGGATTCTGGCACGCCTAAGTCACCTAACTCTGTGCAGAGAATTGCGGGCCTCAGACGATTGGTATCCATCCCATCTTCTTCGTTGCTGCTGTAGTATTCACCCAATGTCTGTGTAGTATTCACCCAATGTCTGTAATGTATTAACACAATGTCTGTGTTGTATTCACCCAATGTGTGTGTAGTATTCACCCAATGTCTGTGTAGTATTCACACAATGTCTGTGTATTATTCACACAATGTATGTGTAGTATTCACACAATGTCTGTGTAGTATTCACACAATGTCTGTGTTGAATTCACCCAATGTCTGTGTTGTATTCACAAAATGTCTGTGTTGTATTCACAAAATGTCTGAGTAGTACTCACACAATGTTTGTGTTGTACTCACACAATGTTTGTGTTGTATTCACATAATGTCTGTGTAGTACTCACACAATGCCTGTCTTGTATTCACACAATGTCTGTGTGATATTCACACAATGCCTGTGTTGTATTCACACAATGTCTTTGTTGTATTCACACAATGTCTGTGTTGTATTCACACAATGTCTGTGTTGAATTCACCCAATGTCTGTGTTGTATTCACAAAATGTCTGTGTTGTATTCACAAAATGTCTGAGTAGTACTCACACAATGTTTGTGTTGTACTCACACAATGTTTGTGTTGTATTCACATAATGTCTGTGTAGTACTCACACAATGCCTGTCTTGTATTCACACAATGTCTGTGTGATATTCACACAATGCCTGTGTTGTATTCACACAATGTCTTTGTTGTATTCACACAATGTCTGTGTTGTATTCACACAGTGTCTGTGTTGTATTCACACAATGTCTGAGTTGTAGTAGTCGTGGGAACAAATGAGCAAGTCATATACTGAGGAATGATACATTCATTGTTTATTCAGTTGAATACCACTAAGGCTGTGACATTGTGATTGCTACGAAACTGAACCTGAAACTGAAACTACAGATCTTGCTATATGTTAATGATTATAAATGTAATTAAATAAACAGTATATTTCTATACATGTATATATGTGAGCGTGCATCAATTGTGTGGGCATCCATTACCATGGCCTCGCTATACATGTATATATGTAAGCGTGCATCAATTGTGTGGGCATCCATTATCATGGCCTCGCTATACATGTATATATGTGAGTGCATCAATTGTGTGGGCATCCATTACCATGGCCTCGCTATACATGTATATATGTGAGCGTGCATCAATTGTGTTGACAGCCATTACCATGGCCTCGCTATACATGTATATATGTGAGTGCATCAATTGTGTGGGCATCCATTACCATGGCCTCGCTATACATGTATATATGTAAGCGTGCATCAATTGTGTGGGCATCCATTATCATGGCCTCGCTATACATGTATATATGTGAGTGCATCAATTGTGTGGGCATCCATTACCATGGCCTCGCTATACATGTATATATGTGAGTGCATCAATTGTGTGGGCATCCATTACCATGGCCTCGCTATACATGTATATATGTGAGCGTGCATCAATTGTGTTGACAGCTATTACCATGGCCTCGCTATACATGTATATATGTGAGTGCATCAATTGTGTGGGCATCCATTACCATGGCCTCGCTATACATGTATATATGTAAGCGTGCATCAATTGTGTGGGCATCCATTACCATGGTCTACATGGTTTCCACATGGCATTTCAACATGCCGACAATGTCTGACATAAAGCGAGAAAAATTTCAACTTTTAACAGAAAGTGTGGTTGTGTTATTAGGATTCCCAACATTCCGTAGCGATAAAAGTAGTCCGTTTTGGTGGGCGTGGTTTAATATTTTTACATTCATTGGGGAATGAAAGCAATATCGCGTGACCAAATAAGCTATTCAGAATACACGTATTACAATGAACACAACGAAAATTTAATTATATTACATCATGTGTATAAAAAATATAAATGCATCGAATCAAACGACTCTCATAGCCATTTTGGCTAATCTCCTCATCACATGATCCTCATCTAACGCCTTCACATTGTGTTATAATGCATATGTCCGAAGTGAAATAGGGATGATATTAACATTGATAAAAGTAAACGTATTCTGGTCGGCTCGGATTCAGTATACTGTGGGGTATTCATGTTAAACTGCGACATGGTATCTCAGTAAGCTAGCACTATAATTAGTCTGGACTAGTACAAGCAGTCCACACACGTGGATGAACGCTATAGAAAGTGCAATAATCTTGCACGCGACGTTAAACCCAATTTCATCTCACCTTAAGAACAAATCAATATATATTACAAACCAAAAAAATGGTGTAGTTTGGGTAGGACAAATCCCAATGTAAAACGAGTCTGTCAAGACGAAATACAAACATGGAATCATATGCTAATATTACAAAGACATATGCTGACATGACGACATTAAGACACATGAATGTTTCGTGTACATGTCAATTATCTATGTATATGAGGTTATATCGTTCATACACTGTATGTCAATCGATTGGAAGAAATGCTGGAGCTGTTTCAATCGTTTCTCTCAGCTTGGATAAATTCCTTGTCGGCAATATCAAACGTCACATATAAAGTGTGAGTGAGTGAGTTAACTTTTTAGGCCGCATCAGCAGAGTTATGCAATCTTGCCCAGTTCACTATATTCACCAATCATATCACGTGATGTGCTGTCAAGTGTTTAATACGTCTGTGGTTCTGTTGGCTCGTATATATCTCGACCTGTCATTTCAGCCACTTCAGCAGCTGCCCCACCCTCCAGATCTGGCTTCTCTGTGTTAAGCGTGCAATATTTCTCTCCAGGTCCCTGGATTTCACGTGACATGACGCTGAGGCCATCGTATGTTCGTTCAATTTGAGTTTCGTCGTTGTTTCATGATTGTTTTGTTTTAACCTTTGACAGATGACTTGTGTTGTAGTAATCATGGCAATCAGATTCCTGCAGTTATGGTCTGAAAATAGGGATATATGAATCATCAGGAATACAATCTTTACGTTAATTCGTGGCTCTAAAAACCAATCCATATGATGAGTAGCAAAAAGTTTTATTACATTACTTGCTATGTTTTTTTTAAAACATGATATCATCACGTGTACTGGAAGTGTAATCAATTGTTCAATTTGATTGGGCCAGAGATTAAGTACCTTTGTCTCCTTCTCCAGCAAACAACACCGACGGCAGCCCCTGCAGCTACCAAGATAACAATTGCTGTCACTGCATGTATAAGTATTTCCCCATCCCCGACTGGGTTGTTTTGCTGAGGTGAAGATGCTGGAAAAGAAGTTATACTTGTAATGTGGTGATGACAAATTGATCAATGGAGACTAATATACTGTGTTATCACACGTTTGAATATGATCACTTTTGCAGATACTATTTTTTCTTTTGATTAAAGATCAATCATATATGTCACAACACTTATATTCTTAATGCCTGTCTTATATTCAATCTCTTTGTGAACGGTTGCAGCAGGTAATCCCTTCTTGAAGACACATTCCGAACCTTCTGACGCATTTCAATCATCACATGTAAAGGATCAATCAGGTTTGTATTCAACGTAGATGTTTTGAACGTAGATTTGGTGGAAAGTATTTGTGATGAGCCAAATAGTTTCAGCGGGTTGAAAGAGCGAATTCACGTTTAAAGATCATGTACCCAAACCATAATTGTCACCATTATACTTACACCACTCCACTGAGACGCAATACAACAACGTAGGCAGATATCCTAAAAGCTTAATTCAAACTGACATCCCCAGTGAAAATGACGCGACCTTTGTAATGTATGTATGACGCCATAAAGGTCTACAGATGGAAAACCTAGCATTTTGACAAGGTGGACATGACGTGAAAGTACGTGAAAGAGTATTGCCAAAAGCCATGCCATGTTGATGTTACTTAATTTTGCAATACACTCTCAATATTGAGATATATTGACACACTTGCTGTAAATAATGTGTGAACTGGACTATTTAGCAACGTTGATGAAAGTAAAATCAGTATTTGAAGTCATGAAACGGACGGGTTTGCGTAAGAGGTGCTTCTAAATAAATATCATTTTTTATCAGTATTTCGATCAACATAGAAAACACTGACTGTCCAGTCAGAATACAGCATTATAAAATGTCAAGCTAGAATATTGTGGAAGCCCTTTTACTTGTCGTTTTATTGCAATTTAGAGGTCCCGTGCAAAGAAATTTTAGCTGTTCTGTTCCAAAATTTGCAAAGCGCTTTGAACAGCGTGGTTGAGAGACTAAGGATCACGGTCATACAGACTCCAATTTTCATTTCGTTCATAGTACATGAACGTTACAGTTGATTGACAGAATAAAACTTGACTCATGTTTTCAACAATCTAGGTTTACGTATAATATGTATATAAATACATTTCAAATGAGCCGTGAAGTGATTGCTAAGCTGCTTACTTTATAACGTTCTATATTATTTCATTATTTCAGCAATGAACACAAACAGTTGTTGTTATTGTAATAGCCATCTTTACCAATACATCATAAAACCAAGATACGCTCACCCTAATCTGAAGATACCTAATACGTGTGTTTATGAACCTGACAGTTGGTACCTGCAATCTGTGATGCTGACCTTTACCTCGGGGTCGCATGTACCCTTCAACACAGCCAGAGAAACACTCACCTGCATATTTGTTACACATCCTGGATGCTTGAGAATATGTATGGTCATCATGGCTATCCAAAAATATGTCCTTATTAAACCAATGGTGTTTGTACCTGTACAGTCCGCTCCTGTCCACCCTGCCTCACACCTGGTGTCACAGCGCCCTGTTGAGTTACAGGAAGAGTTCCCCTCACAGTGTCTGGAGGCACAGGTCTTGATACAATCAGGCCCGTAGTGCTGGCTGTCACAGGCTAATAACATAAAAGCAAATCACTTGTTCAACAATCAGGAGATAAATACTTCATTTTGTGTGATGTCATGTGACTATTCCAAGTGCCTCTTTACTATCTGAAATATGTTTCAAGTAGCACAATACAAGTTTGTTATATACCTGTAGATTCAGGTTGTGTCCGACCTGCCTTACATCCACATAGTGCCCTGTTGTGTTACAGGATGGGTTCCCATACAATGTCTGGAGATACAGGTCTTGTTGACTGTGTACTATCGATATGCACTGCATTCATCACTACAGACCGAATCCTCTTGGAATTGGCATACAGAATCATACCTGTACAGTCGTTTAGTGTCCACCCTGTCTGACATCCCCTGTCACAATGCCCAGTTGTGTTACAGGAAGAGTGTCCCACACAGTGTCTGGAGGCACATGTCTTGACACAGTTTGGCCCATAACGATGAGGTTCACAAGCTGCAACATGAACAGATATGTATACAATCATTACTTTGAATTGACATCTTTAATTTTTTTATTAAAATTAAATAATGCACTAATTGATTGACAGTTTCTCTCAGTACATAGCAAGCTGCAATTCTGTCCATAGGTCCCAGGGTAACATTCTGTAAAAGAATAGTCATGTCGTCATATGTGCTAAGTTGGATCTTGATTGACCTGAGATGTATATCCCGATGGTGACGTGTGTGCATATGTACACAAACTACACGTTCAGCTTTCTGTACACAGTAATCTACGTGACAATGCAACGTTTACACATTATGTGTATCTGTCTATTTATACAGAAGAGTGATGATGGTGTTCCCTTCAAAAATCACAGTGATACTTTTCAAATGAAAACAATTCCATCTTTGGATATTCTGTTTCATGAGTGTTGCATGAGTATTTCATGTCATGTCATTTCATTTCACTTTATTTCAATTCATGTCATGTCATTTCATTTCATTTCATTTCATTTCATTTCAATTCAATTCATGTCATGTCATTTCATTTCATTTCACATCATAGTTCATGTCATATCATTTCATTTCATTTCACTTCATTTTATGATTGACTGCAAATAAAGCAAAAATACCATTACTCTAGATTGTAAATACAAATAAACTATACTCAAAAACATTTCTTTGCAAAAGAACATTGATTTTAGGACACATTAGGACATTTATGGTAATTACAAAATGTTATTTACCAGAAGCAATGTAATTAATTCATATCACAATTATACATCCAAAACTAAAGATATTAGTAAAACTGCTGTTGTATTTACCTAGTTGTTGACCACTTTTATCAACTCATGTGGCTACCTAGCCAGCTGCCGTGTGGTTCTGTGCATGCCTTACATGCCTTGATTACATGCATCTATAGATAGACTAATGCTCAGCGCACCCTATTGGGCTTAAGAAAATGAAAATAGTCTACCTTGATACCCAACTGAAGCATCATAAAATGAAGACATCTTTTAAGTGTATGACCATTACAGCTGGTGTACCTTGTTTACAGTCCACCCCGGTCCACCCAGGAAGACATCCAGTGTCACATGACCCTGTATGCCGGTCACATGACGACGGAGCAGCAGCACATTTTCCACATGTCTCGTTACAGTTGACGCCATAACGGTTCTTATCACACGCTAGAAATGAAAGGCATCGTACATTTTCAGCGTTTGTTGAGAGAATGCTCAGAATCATACGGAACATGAGGTAAATGGTTATCATTATACATTTATTATTAAGACATCGGTATTCAAGTTTACATCATTTTTCTCATACAAGAAATATATTCATATTACAGCAATAATTGTGTTAGTTCCTTACCAGTTGAACAGTTTTGTCCTTGCCACCCTGGTCTACAGTCACCAGCACAGATCCCACTGAATCTGTCACAGGGCCCGTCAGAACAATGGCAGAAATGGTTGCAAAGTTCGCCAAAGGTTCCGTGACTGCAAACTAAAAACAGCATTCGCGTTGTTCGTGTCTCTGCTTTAAACAGTTGGTCGTTAAGAAACAAGAACGTATGTTGACGTTGAACGAAGTGTCAGATGTTGTTATAAACGCAAAAAGATCTGAAAGTCATAGATGTTAATCAGGCGATCAGAGGATGAATTATGCACAGTGAGCTGTGGAATATTGATCCAACTGACGACTCCTGGCATCAGGGCATCAAGAGCTTGAATACTAGTAATTCAAAGATCTTATGCGTGTTACAAGTATTAGTCTATTTATGTAACATGGGTTCTTTCTACGAAGGAACAATGTCTATAGCAACACATCACAGATTGGCAAACGAAACTCAAAATATCCTGTTGCATAACACTGCCTCCTCAGTAAACAGTCATGATGGAATGGCCTATCTGATTCAAAGATAGATCAACAAGACCAACAAAATATTAAACCATACCAAAGATTTCCACCTCACACAGATTTAGCGTCTCTGTTCTGTGTGTGATGGTGAAGTATCTCCCTGTGCCGTCACACGTCACGTCGTACACGCTGTTGTCTGTTTCAGCTGTGTCAGAGGGGAAGGTGTAGCAGGTGACGCCGGGTATGGAGCTGCTGGAATTACTCAGGGAGAGGACAGCAGTTTGGAGTCTGTCAATATCTGAAATGGTGATCATTATAAGGCGACAAAAAATCATAAAACATATCTGATAAAAGTCGTTTGTGCGATTCCGACTATATCATAAGCATGTATGTAAAACATAGTTGTCCCCTTTTAAGAAATTATATATTCTGTGTATTATATGTTAGTAAAAACTATGTGCCTTTCATATCTCATCAAAACTAGCAAGATTTTTGTGAATGGAATGATTTGAGTGATGGAGCATTCACATCAACGAACACACACCAAGCATTTGTGAAAACTGTGATAGCATATTAGCATATTGTTGATACTATGTCTTGCAGCCAGTTTACGTAGAATTCAGGAACGTCATAGCTTTGTGCGTAAATATAAATGGTCAATGCAAGAGAATAACCAGTTTAGATTAATGCTTAACAGATTCAATTTGGCGGAAAGGGCAAAATGGCTGTAAAAATTATGATTATATAAATGGAGCGCTGAAAATACGTGGTGACACTAAATGTTCAAAATACATCGTACTCTGGTTCTTCCATTCCACAGAGGAGATTCTGAATCATCAATAATAATATAGTAATTCTTTGAGGCAAATATTAAGGGAGACAGCTATTGTTTGACAAATGTAAATTCAAAGGGGAACTGGAACTGCAACCTGTAAATTTCGGGGTATTGTGTTCTTATTCCGTTTGACTTTAGTCATGATTAATGAAAATATGACAAGCGAGGGGACACAATATCCATGTAGGTGCTAATATTCAAATATACGCCCACTAACTAGGTTCCTATCAGAGTTTTCAGGATGATGTAGAGTAAATCCCTGAAATGGAATAGTTCGATAACCTGTTTTAGGTAAGGTACTAACATATTAAAGGAATAACAAGCTGGTCGAATATTTCAGGTAATCCTGTTCCATAGGTAATCCAGACAAAATAATAAGCCGGCGCCCGAAGTACAATGCATAAAGATGCCCTAAAAGTAAAATGCACATGTGATTTTATTATTCCTCAAAATGAGATTGACCAATCAGAGAGCAGAACTAATGACCGGGCATATGAGCCCGTATACCGTCAGTAAAATACCAAGATGGATGTTACTGGCCTAATATGAGACCGTATACCGTCAGATACAGCCATCTTGGATTTTCCAACACCCACTTCACATATTTCACATGAACATTCTGGTACAGAAATTCTTTATTACAGACTTTTTGGTATTTTAATATAATGAATTTTGATGTGGAAGACATTAATATTTTTTGTATCACCTTCTTGAATTTATTGATAAAGATTATAGTTGAAATTACCAACAAGGTTGTGTATATGTGTGTGTGTGTGTGTGTGTGTGTGTGTGTGTGTGTGTGTGTGTGTGTGTGTGTGTGTGTGTGTGTGTGTGTGTGTGTGTGTGTGTGTGTGTGTGTGTGTGTGTGTGTGTGTGTGTGTGTGTGTGTGTGTGTGTGTGTGTATTTCTCTGCTAACCAGATGACACCGTATACGCCAACTAAAGACACCATAACTAATAATATGTAGTAATTGTTGACAATGATATTGACAAAAATACCCAAAACGAAGTAGTCGATTTATCATGCCATGATATGAAATCTACATTTGCTACGATATCCTGATGCAGGTGTTATGAAATAGAGTATCTTCATTGCATCTTGCATATATGGGTCTGGAGTTCTGTTCTGTAAATATGTTTACCTAATTATACATGTCAGTACATGAAACATCTCTACAGTCCAAATATATCACATACATACATCCTGCCCGGTGGTTATTTTTTATCAGCATGAACTAACATGTTTTGTGACGCTTCAACCAGTATCCCAATAAATCAAATAACATTGTCCGAACCGATACATACAATACAATCGGTTGTATATCCTGACGTCGTGTATCCTGTACGGCTGTCCCAGGTCCACTGTCCACACACTCGGAGTCCGTTTAGCGTGGAAGCAGGAGTTGTGGGAATAATCCTGGTCCTGGTTCCCATCTACAACCTTGTCTGCAGACCACGAAGGGAAATAGAGTCCAGAAGGAGATGTCGCTGATTTTCCTTTCGCAATGTTTTCTGTTTGGATATATATTTTAAAAGACATGTCACACAAAGACTTGACCTGACCAGAATGGTTTATATTGTTCAGTAGGAGATGGATCTTTCAGGTGAGGCCCATGTTATGCATAATAAAGACAATGTTTATTCGGTTTGCTTGAGCTGTTGTCTCGTTTAAAACAATTTGGACATAAAACTATGAATAAAAGTGATCTTCATAGAAACGAATGTGACATTTCCCCCATTTTGTGCGAGAAGCAGGATTTACGTATACAAAGTTTCAACATTTAAATGTTTAAACGACCTAATATGAGGGAAAGCAAATGCTGAAACTTCGATGGAATTTGATCTTGATAGATCCTGTAGGACAGTGGTAAAACCTACTGTTAAAGAGAAGTGGAACAACATGACTGTTTGAATATATTCACACTATATCACATTTTTGTTTTCTGAATTCAATTTCAAACTTTCTGGAATATGAAATTCTGGGATGACCCTCGCAACGTTATTGGATGGATTATAAAGATATATAACTACAGGTAACTTACTTAATGGTTCCGTAATGGGTAAGTGTGTCACAGTGAGTGAGTGAGTATGGTTTTACACCGATTATAGCAATGTTCAAGCGATATCACGGCGGGGGACACCAGAAATGTTCTTCACACATTGTACCCAATGCGGGTTCGACCCCGGGGCTTCGACGTGTTGAGCGAACGCTTTAACCACAAGGCCACTCCGCCTCCCGGATGTGTTACAATCTGATTGGATGAAACAATAGGATTCAAAGCCTGGGAATCTTCTGGACTTTAACTGCGTGTGAAATTGTAAATTGCGTTTGGCATTGCGACATAAATGTCACATCAATCATAGAATTTCTTTGATTAGAAGTTGTCAAACAAACGTCTCGGAGAGTGTATACAGCATTCTGTTAACCTTGATGCTTCAGTTGTCATTCATTGCATCATAACTTCATCATAACATCATGGCATACCAGAGTGACGACATGTATGTCTCACAGCTGTTGGAGTACCCGGCGAAAGAGAATATTATGGAAATCAACGATAACTTTTATATTTACCGTGTTGATAAACATTATGTGCTCTCATATTTTAGGTGTCATTGAGGATTCAATGCACAGCAGTTGGAACATTTGAAACCTACTTCATTCAATAAATAGTCTCAGGGAGCCATTAAACTAAAAAATGTAAATATATAACGTCAACTCCAGACAACACAGCGGTGACAACTACACGAACGGATCTCTGAAAAGTAGTGATGACACCAGGAGTTCACGAAAAAGGGAAAGCTTGTCCTGCTCTACAGGTAGCACCTGCCACTCACACGATTTGCATGATATGTAAGTAAACTTACCAGAATCAAATATAATCTAGCTCATCTGAATCGAAACTGATTCTTTTCAAAATCGGAAATGTCATTAACCATGTTTATTGTGCATCACAGGCAACGTTGATGCTTCCACCTTATCGACTGAAAAGTAAATCTACCATACATGTATTAGTGTAATATGTCACCATAAGAGTACATGCAGTTATAATTTTCATGACGCAAAAATACGTATTGCGAAATTATGAAAGACAGTCAACACTGAAATGAAATACTAAGAAATCAACAATTTAGCCTATTTGGGAGATTAGGTTGAATCAGTCATATTTGAATGTGTATTATATTCATATTCATACTACCAGAAAAGGCTGTTATTGTTGTCGTGTACGTGATAGTGAGTGAGCGAGTGATAATGATGTTGCGCCGCTTTAAGAAGTATTAATTCCCACCCTAGGGGGGACCTCATAAATGGGTTTCAGGCATTGCACTTACCCAGGCCTTCAACGTTAGGGGCCAACGTTGTACCCACAACAGGCAACCCGACTGCCGTCAATATTTTTATGCCTAAACACAGCTTAAGTAATAAAGTTTGGGGATTATTGCACTTATATCGCGACGTGCATGCACGTGCGTGTGTGTGTCTGCTTGTACTAGTCCGGACAAATGCTGATTTTATAGTGCTAGCCCACTGAGATACCATGCCGCAGTTTACATGAATACCCCATTCAGACACAGTATACTGACTCAGAGCCGACCAGTTCTTGTTTTAGCCCCTTAATGACCAGCGCCAGGCAGGGTAACAACAAGTACAAACTTTTAACGGCTTATTGGTATGACGTGGCCGGGGATCAAACTCCGGACCTTCCGCTCTCCGGACGGACGCTCTACCATGAGACCACGGAGGTGGTACAAATACAGCAGAATGTGTTGAAATAGTTATTGTAAGTATGTGGCTGATCATAAAGGATAAGGGCACTTTCTGTTGTTTCCAAATCGATTTCATTTTACATTACACCTTTCTGGCAGGTAGCTCCATGTCCTCCCACCAAGCCAGCATCACAGCCAACTCCACAAACTCCTGTTGTCTGGTCACAGGAGTCTCCACAGTGACAGGAGTAGAAGCAGGAGTCCCCGAACTTTCCTCTTGGACAGGAACCTGTAAAACGTACACAGAGGTGAAATACATCAAACATCAGATGCATACATTTGCGATAAAGGGTTCACAAATATCTTCCATTCAGCACTTTTTGGATAGAGAATTTAAAACTATCTGCATTACAAACTTGCACACACAGGCAGGCACGTAGGCAGGCAGGCAGGCAGGCACGCAGGCACGCACGCACACACGCACACACACAGAATCACACGCAGGCACACACAAGACACGCACGCACGCACTCACGCACGCACACACACACATATACTCTAAAAAAAGAAACGCAAACCTTTGTATGAGGTAGGGAAATACTTACGAGGAACCGTACAAGGTATTGAGGCAAAATGTTGTGGAGAAAACACTTGATGATTGTATTCATCTCAGTTATCGGTACATAGAAAAGGTCCAAAGTGAAGGCCAGCTACCATCAATTTTGCGTATATTCCCCGTTGGAAGAGACGAGTATTAGAATCAAATCCTGGGAAATGGTAGCCATCTTTGCCTGCAACGCAAAGGCCAACTGCTGCAAAGTCTGGGGTTGTGGCTGCTGTCGGCGTAGCCGTCTGTCCAATTCATCCCACAGGTGCTCTATAGTGTTCAAATCCGGGGATCTTGAGGGCAAGGGAAAAACATCAATGTTATTGTTGTGTAGACATGCTCTTGTGATCATTGCAGTATGCGGTCGAACGTTGTCCCGCTGGAATACAATTGCGACTCTGTTGTCTGACGCGTGCCACCACTGGGAATAGTGTCCGTCTCTGGTCAGGGACGTCCTCAAGGTTTGACCAATTACTTGTACATCAAATGGCCTTCATGAAAAGCAAACAGTGCCGCTCAAATAAGCTAAGTGAAGTACGTAGATCATAGACTACAGATGGATCCACTGTTCACAGACACTTAACATTGTCAGCAGAGTGGAAAATTATGTCTTGGTGCACATTCTGGTTAGAGTTCCCATCTACAGCTTTTTCTGAAGACCAGGCAGATGACCACAGTCGAGTAGGGGATGAACATTTCACTCAAGTAATGAACACAAGTAGTGTTCAGAATAGATATTACACTGTACGAGGCATACATATTCCTTCAAAATCAAACCATACATTCAAACGCATCGATGCCTAAAATGGTATTTATATTACTTGTAATAGAAATATGTTGTATGGATATGTTGACAGGCAAGGGCGAATCCAGAATATGAACCCTCGACACACACCCAAACACCCACCCAACCATGCGCCAAAGCAAATACACACTCGTGTGCAAATCCAGAAAACTTAAGCACGACACGACGATCGGGACAACACGTAGTACAGTAAGTTGCAGCCACCTTGGTTGGAATAACCTTTGAGTACATTGCATTATCAAATGTATTTTATACCTTTCAAATGGTTTTGTGAAAACATGTACGCAGACTAAGCATTCAATTCATAGTTATCATGATAGTGTTTTGGGGTTTGTCTACAACATGCCAGTGTTCTCTGGTGTCATCACACTGGTAAGCATCTTCTGCCTGCTTCACTTCCGGTCTTCCTTTCCGCGAACACCCGGTGTCATTACTACTGGAAAGTGATTCATAAACACGTGCTCATGACATAGTCGGAATTGTACAATCGACTCGAATTCTATTGGATAAGGAAAGGGTTTGTCTCTTAGTTTACACATCAATCTGACAGCCACGACCTGACACGCCCTTATATAAGTGAAATATTGTCACAGTAACACTCACTCAATCTAACCGGCCATAAACACTCCAATACACTCACACACTCACTCACTCACTCAGCCACCAAATCCTCAATTCACCCGCCCACGCACACTCACTCACTCACTCCTTTTATCCCTTCCTTTTCCATGTCCTTCCACCCAGTCCCTATCATAGACATCTCCACAAACAACAGTTTCCTGGTTACAGTATTGTCTACAGTGACAGGAATATTGCTTCAAAAATCTCCGAACGTTCCCCGGGAACATGAACATAAATTTTAACGTTGCGTTCAAGATTATTTCACTCATAAAGGAAGTGCATGAATTAGTCCGGACTTATGTCTTGATAGTGCAATCTTATTTAGATACCATGCAGCACTTGGTAAGTTTGACCCACACATTGTAGAGCCTCCGAGTCGGGCAGTCCTTACTTTACCCCTAACGCTGAGCCCAAGACAGCATAACAGCAAGTGTAATCATTTAATGACTTTTGTATGACACGACTCGGGAATCGAACCATCAACCCCTTCCCCTCTTCAGACACAGAGGCGGTTTGTTCAACAGATGGTAGTAATCAAATTATATTGCATGCATTTTGTCTTAGCCTTTGCTATAAGACATCGTTTCTGATTCACTGCACACCACCATCTTCTACAACTTTACTCCCCTTTAAGCAAGCCATTAACTGTAATACTGTCGTGCTTAGTGTTGTTTACAATGAATGTCTTGCCTAAAATCTCGTGCAACAATAATGCAAAATGAGGTAGTGACATTACAGTAATGTCCTAAAGATACAATGTATATCAAATAAGGAAGCATGACGTGTCACTCACCAATGATAACCTGTATCCAGCAAGCCGATGCGACCACGATGACAGTCAGTATCCACACACCCGCCATGTTTGACAACCAGGAAGTTGTATCCGCTTGACTGAATAGATGGGGCACAGGGCGTTGCTGGCCGTCAAAATATTCATGGACGACTATAAGCTGGGGGCTGCTTACATACAATGTAAATATCTGAAATGCATGTATGTCTTTGTCCTCTATCATGCAAGTAAACATAGAAAAGGCTCAGAATTCATATTCAAACAAACATTAAGCCTCATTTCGTTCAACTCGTCAAGGAAAGGATATGTCGATGCACGGATTTAAAAATGTTTCGTAAATTAAGTGTATTTCAATACATAGCATGAGCACATTTTATGATGGTATGTCTTTGTTGGGTGCCCCATTTACGATCATCGCATTAAGTGAGAAAAGTCTACCTTCCTCAATTTATGAAATAGACACGATCAATGTTTTACATAAGTTGCATGGATGAGACACACACACAAAGAAGTCATTTGTGAATGAAACATACACTCTTCCACAGTGTGTTATGGTACTTAGTACAAACCATAATAATATAATTAATGAGAGTTACACACACGACTTTTGTGTTATAGTCGTCATTGGCTAGTGTAACCATCGACGAAATGGAGGGTATTAAAGCTGATGTTGCATGCTTAATTTCTAAGACAGTTATACACCGAAAAAGTGCGGATATCATATAATATCCATATATTGTGTAACGTAATCGCACAACTCCAAGCTGCAGTACACACATTGGGGTAAGGCATATCAGGAAAAACACACAGCTTCCTCCTAGTGTTAGGTAAACGTCATGATGTTATGATTTTAAATGATAAAGGCATAGGCTATTGGAGTACGTTATCAGATTGAGGTACGTGTATGTTTAAAACTCACCTTGAAGGGATGTACACCACAGCATGCTGTGATTTGAGAACTAGTATACTTCCCTGTCGCAATAGCAATACTTAACAACACCTCTACTAAATGCTTGTAATATACAACTTACTCGCTGTACATAGTTGTATGCCTTAGGCATGCCAAAAACCTATTTAAAGTGGGTTCGAATCTGAGTGTGGTTATAGGTGTATCAGTACATACACACATAGATACACCCCTTCGTGGGCTTCACAATGTGGTAAACGTCTGAGAATTGCACCGCGTCGAGCTTTCCTTAATACCAAGCCGTGATATTGCTGAAAGTCTATACAATTTGGGTGTCACCAAACTCACACACTTTATCAATGCAACTTACATACATTGTAGAGTGTGAATGTGTCTTCTTATTTCTTATTCAAATGTGTGGATAGTTATACACGAAATGTCAATGTTGTTTACAGGTGTGGTTTGTGTTTAAGTGAATAGGAAACAAGTAAAGAACTTACATCACGTATGCGATTGTTTGTTCATGATTTACCTATGATATGGATAATCACTTTGCAACAATACAGTGCAATATTTTTTCGGGCGATCGCGCGTATGAACTAGAATGCGCGTGATACGCGTTGTCCATCAGATTGAAAGCTACAGGACATATTTGTGCCTCTCTCACTGGTGTCACACTGGCTATGTACGATAATGCATTCATGTACATAAACAGTGTTGGAATGTTTTACACATTAACTACATAAGCAACTATATATGATAATTTTATAATGTGAAATTAATGTTTCTTCCTTAAATTGGGTCGATCCTGGATTCTGATTGGCCAATCAATTGTATAAAATCACAATAACCACCTCTGATTGAAGCAGCCGATTTGACGACAGTATCATCAGGGACGATATACAAACATGTTTCTCATTCATTGGTGATAGGCACTTTTAAATGATTATATATATAAATATATTGCAGATTTGGGGTAACTGTTAAATTCAAAGAAAAGGTGATAATACGTTTTGTGCAGAAATCGACAGGGTAATCCATGTTTTGGGGCTTTAGAGAGCTGGTGCAATTCGCTATTTTGACTTGTCCTTAACAGTCCCATATTTTTTCAGGTGAACAGTTGACTAGACTTTGCACGTGTTTGTGACTGGTGCCGGGAAATCCTTGTATCATCACTTTTTGATAGTGATTCATTAACACATGTTGTCAGTATTGTACAATGGACTGCTTTTAGCAGATATTTCTTACGATCATGGACAGGGATTCTTTCGCTCACTATTGAAATTTGGTGCCTTTCTGTTAGCGACCCTGACGTAATAGTTTCTGCGTCACAATGAGCGGTGTGATGTCACATTAGTCACGCGAGGTGTACAACTAAACATTACAAGGCTTAGTTACTCTTCTTTCGGGGCGCCCACTAAACACTGGCCTACACCCGTTCTATGCCTATTTTGTAACAGTTTATGGGGCTTTCAGTATATTTATCATCCTGTTATCATCATTGATTATATTTGTTGTTATTGGTTTATTATTTTGACGCCACAATGTCTGTGTTGTATTCACACAATGTCTGTATTGTATTCACACAATGTCTGTGTTGTATTCACACAATGTCTGTGTTGTATTCACACACTACCTGTGTTGTATTCACACAATGTCTGTGTTGTATACATACAATGTCTGTGTTGTATTCATACAATGTCTGTTTTGTATTCACACAATCCCTGTGTTGTCTTCACACAATGCCTGTGTTGTATTCACACAATGTCAGTGTAGTATTCGCACAATGTCTCTGTTGCATTCACACAATTTCTGTGTTGTATTCACACAATGTCTCTGTTGCATTCACACAATGTCTGTGTTGTATTCACACAATGCCATTGTTGTATTCACACAATGTCTGTGTTGCATTCACACAATGTCTGTGTTGTATTCACACAATGTCTGTGTAGTACTAACACAATGTCTGTGTTGTATTCACACAATGTCTGTGTTGTATTCACAAAATGTCTGTGTTGTATTCACACAATATGGGTTGTATTCACACAATGTCTGTGTTGTATTCACACAATGTCTGTGTTATATTCACACAATGTCTGTGTTGCATTCACACAATGTCTGTGTCCTATTCATACAATGTCTGTGTGTATTCATACAATGTCTGTGTTGTATTCACACAATGTCTGTGTTGTATTCACACGATGCCAGTGTAGTATTCACACAATGTCTGTGTTGCATTCACATAATGTCTGTGTTGTATTCACACAATGTCTGTGTAGTACTCACACAATGTCTGTGTTGTATTCACACAATGTCTGTGTTGTATTCACACAATGTTTGTGTAGTATTCACACAATGTCTGTGTTGTATTCACACAATTTCTCTGTTGCATTCACACAATGTCTGTGTTGTATTCACACAATGTCTGTGTTGTATTACCACAATGTCTGTGTAGTATTCACACAATGTCTGTGTTGTATTCACACAATGCCAGTGTAGTATTCACACTTTCTGTGTTGTATTCACACAATGTCTGTTGTGTTCACACAATGTCTGTGTTGTATTCACAAAATGTCTGTGTTGTATTCACACAATGTCTGTGTAGTATTCACACAATGTCTGTGTAGTATTCACACAATGTCTGTGTTGTATTCACACAATGCCAGTGTAGTATTCACACTTTCTGTGTTGTATTCACACAATGTCTGTTGTGTTCACACAATGTCTGTGTTGTATTCACACAATGTCTGTGTTGTATTCACACAATGTCTGTGTTGTATTCACACAATGTCTGTGTTGTATTCACACAATGTCTGTGTTGTATTCACACAATTTCTCTGTTGCATTCACACAATGTCTGTGTTGTATTCACACAATGTCTATGTTGTATTCACACAATGTCTGTGTAGTATTCACACAATGTCTGTGTTGTATTCACACAATGCCAGTGTAGTATTCACACTTTCTGTGTTGTATTCACACAATGTCTGTTGTGTTCACACAATGTCTGTGTTGTATTCACAAAATGTCTGTGTTGTATTCACACAATGTCTGTGTAGTATTCACACAATGTCTGTTTTGTATTCACACAATGTCTGTGTTGTATTCACACAATGTCTGTGTTGTATTCATACAATGTCTGTTGTATTCACACAATTTCAGTGTTGCATTCACACAATGTCTGTGTTTTATTCAAACAATGTCTGTTTTGTATTCACACAATATATGTGTTGCCTTCTCACAATGCCTGTGTTCAATTCACACAAAGCCAGTGTAGTATTCACACAATGTCTGTGTTGTATTCACACAATGTCTGTGTTGTATTCACTCAATGCCAGTGTAGTATTCACACAATGTCTGTGTTGTATTCACACAATGTATGTGTTGTATTACAACAATGTCTGTGTTGTATTCACATTATGTCGGTTTTGTATTCACACAATGTCTGTGTTGTCTTCACACAATGCCTGTGTTCTATTCACACAATGCCAGTGTAGTATTCACACAATATCTGTGTTGTATTCACACAATGTCTGTGTTGTCTTCACACAATGCCTGTGTTCTATTCACACAATGCCAGTGTAGTATTCACACAATATCTGTGTTCTTTCACACAATGTCTGTGTTGTATTCACACAATGTCTGTGTTGTATTCACACAATGCCTCTCTTGTATTCACACAATGTCTGTGTTGTATTCACACAATGTCTGTTGTATTCACACAATTTTCTGTGTTGTATTCACACAATGTCTGTGTTGCATTCACACATTGTCTGTGTTGTATTCACACAATGTCTGTAGTACTCACACAATGTCGATGTTGTATTCACACAATGTCTGTGTTGTCTTCACACAATGCCTGTGTTCTATTCACACAATGCCTATGTAATATTCACACAATGTCTTTGTTGTATTCACACAATCTCTGTGTTGTATTCACACAATGTCTGTCTTGTATTCACACAATGTATGTGTTGTATTCAAACAATGTATGTTTTGTATTCACACAATGTCTGTTGTATTCACACAATTTCTGTGTTGCATTCACACAATGTCTGTGTTTTATTCAAACAATGTCTGTTTTGTATTCACACAATCTCTGTGTTGTATTCACACAATATATTTGTTGCCTTCTCACAATGCCTGTGTTCTATTCACACAAAGCCAGTGTAGTATT